AAGAGAAGCTGAGTCCCTGGTTTTATGCCCTCTCTGGCCTTTGATCTTGAGCTTGTATTCTGATTGGTTGTCCCATGGGCCCAGGCAGGTCAACTCTCTAGGCTGTGTTTTGAATCCAGGTTTGGTTGAGTTCTCAGATGTCATGCGGTGAGTTGGGTAAAGGGCCCATATTATCCTGCCTTAATCCCATCGCCCTGGAGCGGAAGGGGAGAACTCTTTATTATGTAAAGGGACTGGCTTGGCCACCTTAATGGCCCATTGACAAAGTGGGTGGAGGCAGGAAGCTACAGGGAGCTATTCTCTCTTTATAAAACATGTTTCTTCCTTTTCACATCCAGAGAAATATTTCAATATTTCCTAGGATATTTCATTTTTCTGGGAGAGGGCTGGGTGATAACTTCCTACACCTGAAAATAGTGGATTGCAGCATAGATGTTATCCTCCTCTGCAGACAAATAAAGTTTGCCTGTAAACTGTTCTATCCTTGTACCTGTAGAAGACAGTCCTGCCAGAATAAATTATGGTAACCAAGAAAACTCTCACTAAGGAGAAGGTATAAAGGGACATTTTTGCTGGTGATTTTGACTGCAGTTCTTTCACGAAGGGAAGTTTCCTTATTCCTTGCTCCCCAAATGAGTAGAAAAGAAAAAGAAATGCACCTCAGATCGAGACGAAGAGTTTCGTTGTATATTTTTCTCCATTTCCGGCAGGCACACCGAGTCTTAACATGCGTATTTAATTTTTTTTTAAAAAAAAAAACAAAGTTTGCAAAGCAGTTCACAGTAGTATTCACCAATGCTGAAAGACACGCAGTGATTGCCCAGTTTTTTTTCCACCCTCAAATGAAGCAGCCAGTTTTAGATGTAAATTGCTTAAGGCCTGCCTACTTTAGGGGCTGCCTCTCTAATGATTTGTAAGAAAAGATGTAATTCATCTCTTTTAACTTGACCTTTTAAACGTTTTACTTCAGGGTTGTCAAACTGGATTTCTTAGAGGGATGGATCAGCATTGTAGTTCTCCACAGGCCGCCCCGGGGGTGAGGGTGGAGAGATGGGACGGAGGCTTCCTGCAGTACCCTGATGGCCAAAATGGGGTGCGTGAGGCCGCACATGGCCCCCACACTCCATTTCCTGTCTGAACAGCCTCCTGCAGCACTTTGCTAGCCAAAATGGGGTTTGAGGGCAACACGTTTCCCTCCCTCCCTCTGCGCCCGGTTTTGGCCTGCAAACTGCTGCTGTATGCCGTTCAGGCAGAAAATGGGGCACCGTGGACCGGTCATTTGCTATTTCTAGGCTGGCCCCGGGGGCAGATTTAAGCATTTGGATTTGGCCCGCTGGCCTTGAGTTTGACACCCCTGATTTTAGTTGCTTTAACTGTATAGTTATTATACGCCACCATACAACATGGAGGCAGAAAGACAATACACATATATTAGTAACAGGATGAAAATAAGATAAGCCCTACATAAGTTGCAACCTTGCTGGGTACCAATACTTTAAGGAAGCTGGCCAGAATCACAAAGTGACCATGGGAATAACTCCAGGTGTGCTATTCAAATTGCACTGAATATACTGTTCTTATTCTAAAGGTCATCCTAAATTAAAGAAGAATGAATCAGGCTTTGATTACCTTGTATTTGTATAGCCAGGTCCAAGTAAAACTGCATGGGTACACAGATTGAAGGTGAAATATTCTAATACTTTGAGGCAGATTTAGAGAGATGAATTTTTAAACATTTTCCACATATTTTAGCAGTTCTCAAACCATGAATTGAGAAACCCTGGAGGAAGTTTTGCAAATTTGGAGGTTCTAGTTTTGTTTAAAAACTAATTGGACTAGCAAAGCAACAGGCACTCCAGAAATACTCAGGTCTTTCCTCTTTATTTTGCCCACACAAAGCCCTATGGACAGTTGCGGAACCGCAAAATTAGAGAACTAGTGATTATAGATTAGTATTATTTATTAGAAGAAAGTGATGCTTTATTTCCTAGCATATAGACCTAACCCCAGTGAAAGCATTTGTATTATTTCTGGGGTTTGTCATACAAAGCCATGTATCATTTTAGGGATCCCAGTTCCACAAAATTTGAAAATTCTTATTTTAAAGCAAACTTGTACCATAGCTTCACAAGCTGTATGCTTAATAACTTATATTATTAAATTGATGGTCAGCATTTCATTCTTTGCTTTTGCAGGAGGGAAAATCTTTGTATGAATGTTGCAAAAAGTTGAAAACCACAATGCAAACTCAACATAAAAAATTAAATTAAACAGCAGTAAACATTACAATACAAGGTGTCAACTCACCTTGGGCAATACCATCTCTCAAAAGCTCTATAATATAAACTCTGTTGGCAGTTTTTTGGAAGGATATCAAATTTAGTTCTAGCATGATCTCTAGATGAAGGTTGTTCCATTAATTGGGAGATATTTGTAGTTGTATTTAAATAGCGGGAAATTCTTACATTTCTTTCATAGAACTGCAGAGGAAATGAGGGAAATGACTAATTTAAAACTCTGTATTTTAGCAAATCAATTCATACATTGTTTATATTTTAATTTGGATGTGGGCCTCATTTGTTGACTAGGGCTGGTTTCCAGATGTCTGGTAGGAGGGAGGTATCATCACGTTTATTCATGTTGTGGGGGTGTTTTTCTATTTCGATGGCTTCCATAATTATTCTCTTGTTGAAGTGTTCAGTTTTGGAGATTAATTTGGTTCCTTCAAAATCAATTTCATGTCCTGTTGCTTTAAGGTGCTGGAAAAGGGAGGAAGTTTTTTCTTTTTTTCTGTCTGTGTTCTTGTGTTCTGTGATGCGTGCATTTATTCTCCTATTCGTTTGTCCTATGTATGTTGCAGGGCAGATTTTGCATGGTATTTCATAGACTCCTTGGCTTTCTAGGTCATTTCAACACAAAAGAACAACGTACATTCTGGTCTTGTTGTATTCGGGTCTTTTCCTGTGTAAGATTGAGATTGTCTTGGCAACATTTCAGTGAGGTGTCACTCGCCATCTTCAGGCTAGGTTTTGGACCAGCATACCTGCACCAGTGAAAATCTACGAAAACAAACAAACATACATACATACATACATACATACATACATACATACATACATACATACATACATATTTATATACATAAATTAATTTTATGTATTAATTTAAACTAATACTACTACCTTTGTAAAAGAACTTATTTTTATCTGAAATTGTGATGAGAGAGTCAACCAAATTCATTCAGGTTGCTTTTGTTCAAGAATGAATACATTGATGGTCTTCTAAATTGAGATGGATGACATGTTTGAGATGTTGTTGAATTCCCAGAATTCCTTATTAGCTCTTAGCAATAGTTCTTAGACTTATATACCGTAGCCCTTCATGGTGCTTTATACCACTGTCGAGGTTGTTTGCCCCCAACAATCTGGGCCTTCATTTTACCGAACTTAGAAGGATGGAAAGCTGAATCAACCTGGAGATGGTCAGGATCAAACTCCTGGCAGTGGGCAGATTCAGCCTGCAATACCGCATTCTAACCATTGGCCATTCTGGCTATTCAGCCATTCTGAATCAGAATGGCTGAACCATTGGGAATTGTTTTCTACACCTATCTTAATTGACTGGAAGGAGTGAGAGAGGCTATCTGGGTTGAACTAATCATGTTTAGGCAATTAAGCATATCTAGTTTTGTTCAGAAATACAAAGTTAAGAGTACTAATGAAAGATAATATTTGTAGCTCAGGGTTGAAGTGTGGATCCTTGATGCTCTTTGAGCTTGGCTATTTTCTTGCAGATATTGCATTACACATTACCCTTTGATTACATTTCACTGTATTGATAATGTTACCTAGTTTGGTAGTAAAATGTCTGCAAGAAAACTACCCAGCTCACAGAGCATCAAGGACTTCAAGGTTAAGAGTAATATGAACCTAATTAAGATAAAATTAAGGTTAATTCAGGAGTACCTAGTAACAAGTAACAAAGAAGAAATGTTATGTAAAAATATACAGCAAATAATGGAGTAATAAAATGGGGTGGGAGGGGCTTCATTCATTAATTCTGGCAATTCATTGAATGTTGCCAGAATTAAAAACATATCTATTTTAATTTTGAGCAAATAAATCAAATTTAGATTCCTTCCTTTTGCTTTTAATAATCTTGATCTTTAAAGTATTCAAATAATGCCTAAATAAATTTAATTTATTTTCCTTTGTTCTTTGTCCCGTCTCAAAAAATATCTTTAAAACTTTAACCAGTGTATTTTCCAAATCCAATATAAAAAATATATACAGGTATTTATTTATTTTTTAGGGGGGGTTGTTATTTATATATCCCTTTTTAATTACTAAGATATCAGCTGCTTTCATTTGTATATCCAGTGTAGCATTTTTCCCCATATCATTCTGGTAGCCTGTCATTTTTAAACCCCCTCTCAGATCCCACTCATTCTTGTCCAGCATGTCTTGTCTCTCTACCATAACATGTTTTAAACACAGTCTGTCATCTTCTACTTGAAAGTATATATCACATAATTAGCAGAGGTCTGTCAGACATTCATTGGATTGTTTCCCAGCTGTTATGGGAACTACATTAATGTGAATAACTTGTTCAGCTAGAAGACCATGTGAAAGCATTTGTCCCTGAACACTAATGATAAATTTCTGCATAACAACACAGGGGTGTCTTGTTTTGTTGAGATGGCTATGAGACTGTAAGACGAACACTGCTCTGAAATGATTTACAAGGCCTTCATTATCTACAAAAATGGCTGAAACTATGTTATTTAATAATGTGGAGAGCTAGTGTGGTGCAATTAGTTCTTGACTTACAACCACAATCGAGCCCAATGTTTCTGTTGCTAACCAAGACAGTTAAGGGAGTTTTGCCCCATTTTATAATAGCAATAGCACTTAAACTTATATACCGCTTCACACTGCTTTACAGCCCCAAGTGGTTTATAGAGTCAGCATATTGCTCCCAACAATCTGGGTCCTCATTTTACTGACCTCAGAAGGATGGAAGGCTGAGTCAGCCCTGAGCCTGGTGAGATTTGAACTGTCAAATTGCAGTTAGCTGGCAGTCAGCAGAAGTAGCCTGAAGTACTGCATTCTAACCACTTGTTAAGTGAATTACAATGTTAAGTTAGTAACACAGTTGTTCAGTGAATCCGGCTTCCCCATTGAATTTGCTTGTCAGAAGTTTTCAAAACGGGATCACATGACTGCCGTACACTGCAGCCGTGATAAATACATGTCAATTGCCAAGTGCCTGAATTTGAGCACATAACCAGTGGATGCGGCAACCATCATAAATGTGAAAAGCAGTCCTAAGTCACTTTTTTCAGTGCCGTCGTAACTTCAAATAGTCACAAAGCAAACTGTTGTAAGTTGAGGACTACCTATACCATAAGATGTTGAACTAGAATTTGGTAGTTCAAACTCATTTTCAGCTAGAGAAATTTCACTGGATGATTTTGGGCTAGTCATTCTCTCTCACCCATTTTATTTGACATGGTTATTATTATGGTGGATACTGGGAGGAAAAGAATGTAAAATAGCCTCCCATCAAGTCCTACAGGAAAAACAGGGCATAAATCTAAAAGTTAAATAATTAAAATCTATCTATTTGATGACTCTGTGTGTGTGTGTTTGTAAAATCTACATAATAATGTAAATTATTATATAATATGTATGATACTGATAGTCTAAACAAGTTTATCACATTTAATATTCGGTAATTTTACTTATATATTTCCCTTTTCCTAGATTCTACTGGTTTACAGAGATAAAATTCCATTTATTTAAACACTAATTATGATTTAGCCTAAGGGGTGGTGGGGAATAACATAGCACACATTTAGTTAGAAATTATTTCAAAATTTAACTAATTGGGAATAAAACTATTTTTTCATTCACATCAGTGGTGGGGTTCAAAAATTTTGACTACCAATTCTGTGGGTGTGACTTGGTGGGTGTGACTTGGTGGTCATGGCAGGGGAAGGTTACTGCAAAATCCCCATTCCCTCCCGATCAGTTTGGGAGGCAGAGAATAGCTGGGGGCAGGGCCAGTCAGAGGTGGTATTTACCGGTTCTCTGAACTACTCAAAATTTCCGCTCCAGAACTTGCCAGAACCTGCTGAATATAACTCTGTTACTGTTAATTGTTAATCCTGTGCATTGTTTCAAATTAGATTCATTTAATTACTGGAGGGTGTTCACCATTGAAAAAAGGATAATTTGTGGTTCCTCCCCTCTAAAAACTTTCTTTCTAAATTACTTTAACATGAGGGTTTTTTGGCACATTCATTTATTCACTGAGTGTGTTTGTAAGTTGTCTCAATCTATACAGTATTTTTCCAAACTATTTTGTGCTTACATATGTACACCTGTAGGTATAGGATTTTCTTGATAGAGTATCATTCAAAAGAGGGATATAACTACTTATACCTTGTATGTTTTAATTTTTTATGTACATTAGTCATATCAGCACTGTACTGTTGTTATTGTTTAATGTTACTTATCTTCACTTGTGTGTCTTAGCCATGCATTTAAATGTAAAGTTTTCTGTTTTAATATATGCTTTTAAATAGCTGCCTAAATCACCTGAAATGGAAAACGATATAGAGGTGTGTCACTTATTCACCTATATTTGTAAAATGTAGAAATATTGGTGATTTTGAGAATAGCTGTGGTTGAGGATAGATCTATGTTTTGGGATGTTTGAAATTTTAAACTAAATGTTAGATATTATTCAGTGACCCTTATATTTTTTTCTCTTAGTATTTGAATTTAACATGGAGATGACCACTAAAATTAATGAATTAAAATTAATGTGCATTATTTTAAAAGTGTAAAATCATTGCAAAGTAATTATGCAGTGATAAAATTATAAATTTAAACCTTCGTGCATATAAGTGTGTGTTTGTGTATTTACTTATCAAAAGTACCACTTCAGATTTATTTTGGTTTATCAGAAATTTCACCCTGAATGTATCAAAATCTTTCAGTTAGGAATTTGGAGTTTAAAAAAAGAATTAATTGACCATAAAGTCCCTTTTCAACTCTTAGTGACCATAGAAATCTATCTCTAACCCTTTCTTTCAAGATGTATACTCATTGCCTCTATAATTGAATCCATTACCTTTTTGTTGGTTTGTTGTCTTCTATTTCCTTCCAATTTCCCAGCATTAGAGCTTTTTCCAGAAAGCTGGATGTTTGCATAATGTGTCTGGAATAGGATGATTTTAGCTTGGTTGTTTGTTCAATGATTTATCAGTTTGGATTTTTGGCTGTCCATGGTGTACTCTGGAATTATAAAATCATAGGCTGGAAGAAACCTTGGAAATCTGCTAGGCCAGCCCCTGTTCAGGGCAGATACCATATACCATCCCAATCAAATGATTGTCCAGTCTGTTTTTGAAAATCTCCAATGATGAAGCACCCACAACCACAGGAAGCACGCTATTCCATTGATTATTTGTTCTCCTGTCAGAAAAAATCTCCTTACTTCTAGATTGGATATGTCTTTTAACAAACTTTCACCCATTATTTCTTGTCCTGCCCTCTGGTGCCTTAGAGAATAAGTCAACCCCCCTTCTTTGTGACAGCCCTTCAAGTATTAGAAAACAATTATCATTTAAAGAAATCAATACCCTTCTTATTTTCCTCCTATAAAGTCTTTTACTTCTATAGAGGATCATGGGGAATATAATGGCTTGCACAATTCTGATCTTTGTAGGTATTGAAAAAAAATACTGCAAGTTAGCAGGTGCTATCGAATATCTATGTGCAATAAAGTAAAAGTTCCCCTTGCACATATGTGCTAGTTATTCCTGACTCTAGGGGGTGGTAATCATCTCAGTTTCTAAGCTGAAGAGCCAGCACTGTCTGATGATGCCTCCGTGGTCATGTGGCCAGCATGACTAAATGCCGAAGGCACATGGAACGCTGTCGCCTTCCCACCAAAGGTGTTTCCTATTTTTCTACTTGCATTTTTAAATGTTTTCGAACTGCTAGGTTGTCAGAAGCTGAGACAATTAATGGGAGTTCACTCCATTATGCGGCACTAGATATTTGAACCGCCAAATTGCCAACCTTTCTGATTGACAAGCTCAGCGTATGAGCCACTTCGTCCCTCTTTATGTGCAACAGAGACAGCTAATATATTTACCCTATCTTTTAATTTTGTAGTCAGGGGGACATGTCAGTGTATTTAGTTCAAGAACACATATTACTGCAAGTTTATAAACACAATTAACTCTACTAAACATACTGATTTTTTTCTCTCTGCAGAGCCCTTATCCTCCTTGAACACACATATTTTCTAAAATATTGACCAGAGAGACTCTTGACCAGATCAAGAACATGATCTTTCATTCTTTCACTTTAAAGAAATGTACCATAGCTACAAATGTATAAACCCTTATTGTTTTTGTTTTCTAGAGATTCTAATTTGTGTTAAATAATAATACAATGATATTCACATTCACTTTTACTTCAAGATTATCAATGATTTTTCCAAAAGCCTGAAATATTCTTTAAAATTCCATTTGAAATTCTGTTTCTGATTCAGACATACATTAAATTATATTTAATGTTAGATACATGACAGACAACAAGTCTCAGGTTTAAGTGTGGTCCTTCAGAAAGTTAAAAATAAAATTGGCTGTCAGTATTAAACTAACTGCTTTCCCCCAAAAGACGTATAGCAAAATTGAAAATAGCTTAAATGAGCTTTCCCTAAACTGATATTCTCTAGATACAGTATATAGTTGTAAATGCATCAGAAAACAGATATTCTCAGGCTGCTTCAAAACTGTTGAAGCTACTAACCCAAAATAGGTAGATCTGGTCTGAAGCCGGGGAAATGAGCAGTCAAGAGTATATTGACCAGAAAGGAGGAAGAGGCTTCAGACTTAAATCTTAAGGCTGCTAAACAGCTTATTTATAGGCCTCGCTTTCTGAGTTCTGCAGTAGACAGCTGTTCTGCCTTGCATCTTGTTTGCAATAAATCTTACCTCTAAGCCTTGATTGGGATTAGGTTCCTGGATGTAGTATTGTGTTTCTAGAGAGAAGAAAATTATAGCTATTTTGGATTTGAAGTTGGGCACCAAGACCTGCATGCTTTTCATCTCGGGAGGGAAATGCTTCAGCCAGGAAAGTAAACACTTTATGCAAACATTACTGCAATGCTGTTTGCTGTGGATCAAGTTCTTTGCTCCAGAACCAAGTTGCTATCCAGTTGGACCAGAAAACATCAATAATTGACCAATTTTCCAGCAGTTAGGTAGAAACCTCCACAATAAGTTGACCATTGAATGGGTGTACAAGTGTTGAAAAATCATAACCAGTCATACACTGCTTATCATTAGGGCCACTGAAGAGAAGTTTGAAATAGCATACTGCACATTGCAATCTAGACCCTCTGCTATACAGTGTTTTTATAAATGCCTATTAACCATTGGAACAATGAGGCAGGAGGGACACAGAAAGGAAGTTCTTTCTGTGCCTGATTCAATCTATACTCATTGGGAGCAAGACCCGTATGCATGGGCTGGGATAGTTTGCCTTCAAGGAACTTCTTTTTGTCTCCATCTTTTTTCTTAGGAATGGGGAAATCTGTGCCAGAATTTCGTTTTATTTTTAGCTCACCTTTATTACTTTAATAATTTGCTCCTTCTGTTGAAACAAAAACTTTTTCAGCTTTTCCCATGACATCTGGCCAATGGAATATTTGACTATTTGAAATTCTTGTCTCCTTCGTCATGACTTTTTATGATCTCGTAGGCTCATGTTTCTTCTTATCAAACATGTTGCCCTGCGAAGCTTCTTATCTGAGTGTAAAGTTAGTTCCTTTCATCTTTCTCTTTTGCTCCTGGGACAGCTCATCTGATTACTATTCAGCATGGGGTTTTTTTAAACTATAGGTTTCATCACAACCTCATTTACGATAGAAGTTCTCTTCTGGTATGTTTTTGGAATTTTTATGTTCTCTTTTGAACTAACAACATATCCTCTGCTCATTGACAAAAGTTACATAGTAAAAGAGAGGAGGCTAATGCCCACTTTAGAACAATACTTCCATGGGTAAGTTTATTACCAATAGAACAATTGATCTCATCTTTTATGTGAGTCTGAATTTGCTTATAATAACTTCTTCATATTTCCTGATTCTGATGTCTACATTTTAATAGCAATAGCACTTAGATTTATATACCACTTCACAGTGCTTTATAGTCCCCTCTAAGTGGTTTACAGAGTCAGCATATTGCCCCCAACGATTAGGGTCCTCATCTTACCAACCTTAGAAGGATGAAGGGCTAAGTCAACCTGGACTGCTAAATACAAACTGATGATAGTCAGCAGTTACCCTGCAGTACTGCATTCCAACCACTGCATCACCACATCGCTTCATTTTAAGCTACCCTTAGTAGCTACCACCTCTTCTCCTGAATCCCTTCCATTCCAGACCTCTCTCATTTTCTCATGGGAAGCCAGCCAGAACCACTTCAAAAATCAATTGGATCATGTCATGAGTTCCTACAAATGCTCTGCTGTCTTCGATAGCTTTTGTCACTACTATTAAGAAAGGGCTATGCAGATATGGGAAGATCATGGGAAGCAGCAGAAGACACATATCCCCATTGTCTCACCTGACAGTAGTATTTGCAGCACCTTAATGGCCAAATCACCTAACTGGACACAAGTTCTGTCTTCAGTGCCTCCCAGGAATTCTGATTCTTAGAAGAAAGGGAAGTGGATTTGGGTTAGGGAGAAAGTTGCAGAGGAGAGTTTTGGAATAGATGGAGTACTGACAAATGTAAGAGATTAATCTCCACCTACATCTATTTTTTCCTATTGGAGGAAGACAGAGTAGAATACCTCAAAATAAAGGAATCATCCCTAATTTATGTCGAAGACCCAGGGGGGCCATAATGTAGAAATGGAAAAATATAATTTCTTTCATTTCCTCCTGATCAGAGAGTAGGAATAGGAAATCCATGCGGGTTTCTAGTTCCAGTGGGGAAATAAAAGAAAAAATAGACAAGGAGGCCAAACAAAATTATTATATGGACAAAATAAATGTGAAGTTCAGGAAAAGAACAATCAACAATTCATTGACCAGGAAAAATAAGATGACTTATATCCTGGGTTCTTTATTTTATATGATTTCTATATAATTATATTTTTGTATCGGGCAAATGTCCCATACATATGTAACATCTTTGCAACAATAAAACTCTTATGTATCAGTTCTGAGCCTGATCATCTTCCAATTCCTATAAATCAAAGCTTTACTATACCTCGTGCGCTGACTATTAAGCCATAATTTTAGCATTGTCTTTTTAAAAAAATCATTCACCCGAAGAATCTTTCAAAAGGTAATCAAGACAACACAAAAATTACCATATCTAGGGGGGAAAAAGTTATGATGAAGGGAGGATATCTCTTCAGGCAGAAAATAAATGTTTTTCCATGTTTGGAAATGTTTTAAGTAAAGTGAATTGTATGTAAAGTTCAGTGTGTTCAGTGTAAAATATGTGTTTGCATGGTGACAGCCAATATTGTTATTTTTTTGCATTTGCTAATATTACATAAGTCAGACTGTTTTCTGTATTTATTATGCAAAGCAGAAAACAAACCATGAATGCAAATATTAATACTACCAAAGTTAAATGATGGAAACTTTCAGTAGATCAGGAGTGGGCAATCCTTGAGTTTAAACCAATCCTCCCACCCCCATGCTGGTCTCCCAAGATCCGCAGAGACCTAGTGATGTCCCCAAGAGGCATGAAAGACGAAAAAAAGTGGATCTTTTGGTGAGAATTTTAAGGATATTTTTAAGGATAAAACTATCTCTGGATTTCCTTAGGCATAAGATACCAATTTCCACTTTTATCCTGAAAAAAAATTCTGCTCAAATATGGCCACATTTTTTGAGTTGTGTGGTGGCAATTGGGATCTGCGGGCTGCAGATTGCCCACCCCTGCATTTTTTTAATCACATGATTTAACCTCCTGTAGTTCTCTGAGTGATATAAATCATTGTATAAGGGCAATACTTGTTTATTTTAAATTTATTTAGAATCTCTGTAGTACCAATCTTTAAAAAAATTTCTCCATACTCGCTAGGAGCTTGATCAAAGTCTACCAGAGAGACAACTTGAAGATCAAAAAAGGGTATGTATCTTCAGCAGTGGATTAAAGATGAATATGATCGATGTGAATTGCAGAAGGACTTAGTTGTTTTTATGTATTTATTTTAATTAAGGAAAATAATATGTAAAGAAAGAATTTTCCCCTCAAAATGTTATGAAAACAAAAGAGGCTTTAATCAGTTTTTAAAGCATAAATTGAGCATTTGGAAGTTGTTATATAGGTTGTTAAATAATATTCTCTCTTCCTATCTTAAATATGTTACTACTACTGATTTTTACGTGCAAGATTTGTTGATTCCTGATTTGCTTCATATGATATTGAAAAACAAGTCAATCCTAAAATCTGTGGGCTGCGGAAGTATTTGGTGATGCATTGTTGCTTTAGATTTCAATGAATGAATTAACATTAGATTTCAATGAATGAATTAAGAGAGAAATACTGTGGTAAAAGCAACATTCCATTTAACGCTGAATGATTAGCACCTTGGTAAACCAGGATTTCTTTTCTTTTTCTATCAGTTGAGCATGGCACAGGATCTCTGTGAGGAGGATGTGTGGTTTGATAATCAATCAATCAATCAATCAAATAATATCTATTGCACAGAGAATTAGAAACGAAAATATCTTTACAAACTGAATGGCTCTTATCATACTGAAGATGTATTGTAGCAGTATAAAGTGTGCAATTCTTTTACATATCACTAATTTCAGAAAGTATATAAAAGTAATAGCTTTCATTTACAAATACTGCATTTCCCGGGATAATTACTTTTTTTGGGAATAACACAGACACCTAGATCTAATTATCATGAGTGCTTTCTTTTTTTCTGTGAAGATGAAAATTAAGATTAATTTCAATGTATATCTAAAAACTATGTAATGATATTATTGTTGCTACTAGTAACAAATACTGTAGCTTTCTTTGAAGCAGAAAGAATTTTATTGGTTGAAGTGCAATTAATTTGCTTGATTTTGTTGTTTTCAAATTATATAAAAGAAACAATTGATCTCAGTAGATAGATAGATTGATAGGTAGGTAGATTCTTTATTTTGTTATATGTAACCCGAACTGCATGCAACCATTGTTAGTTGAATTTAACTTTTATCAGGCCGGAAATTATTATTGTTCAGCTCAGATTTGATATGTGTAATCATGTTCTATTCTTACATTAATACTGTTTACAGCTGATACTAGTATTGTCTAATTAAACACACACACACAATTATAGGAGTGAAAGTTCGGTATATCTGAAGGCATGATACTGAAAAGTTTGCTTTAATAAGGCATATTTAAATGTCACTAACATAGTTCATGAAAAACCTACTAGAGCATTGTCCCTTGGTCAAACACAGCTCAGGTAACTGAGCTAAAATTCTTTCTACCTGATAAAACTGACTCAAATATTGTTCAAGTTTTTCAAGGGCAATTATGTGAAGTGCAGGCAAACCAAATTCAATCTGAGTGACACTTCTTTCTCATTGGAGTCACCAGATTGTGTGAATAAGATCTCTTGCTGAAGTCAAAATTCATATTACCTTCTTAATGTTTGAGGAAATGCTTCCTGTAATCCTTGATATAGTTATCTTTAATCATGGTAAAACCAGTACAGACTCTGAGAGATCTGTTATCTGTTCCTGTAAACAGGACATGTACATAAAAATGAAAGATACAAAAGTGATTTTTATTTGCAGAAAATTATTAATATTCATTTCCGTGCTCTCTTAAGAAACTATGTACATAGGGCATTTTTAAGTAGTGTATACTTTAATATCTTAAATGTTCAAAGCACATGGAAATAATTATTTCATGTGGATACAAAAATAAAGTTATTTCCAGGCTGTTTACTGCTGCTATTATTTATTTTATTATTATTTTCCACTTCTTAAAGATACTGAACATCTTGACCAAATTTAGGGATATCATAGGTAATGTGTTTAACACCTCAAGAAATTTGGATGCAGCTGATTCAGTTCCAAGGATATGTTGTGTAACAAAGTAATGCTTAAGAGGTTTGCTCAATACAGAATTTTCTATGAATTTGAGTTTTGTATAACTCTTAAATTAAAAAAAAACCTTTTGCAAAAAGTTACTTCATGCTATCTTGAAATTAGATGAAATTAAACTTTAGGAATATTTAGGCAGTGTTAAAGGTGCTTCTATCTCATAAAAGAGTGGCCAATATTCACCACTTGCAAAATTGATATATTGGGACTTTGAACTATTCTAATCTGTTCCACTTTTCACAGCAACTGTTCACTAGAGCAGTACTGAACGTGCCAGGAGTGGATGTGTCAAGAATAGTGGTTCATCTGATGGTGGTGATATGACATAAAATGAGATAAAATACAAATGGATTCTGATTCTATCCTGCAGGTTTATTGCTGACAGGGGAGAACAGCTCTTCCTTTTTTCCCAGAAGTCAATAAGACAGAAAAAAAGCCCTGAAACAATATTTATTATTAGATTTACAGTGTTAACTTTACCTGCTTGGACTGCCTTCTAATATCACTTCTCTAAGTTGAGATATTTGGATGGGCTTCTCTTTATGGCAACCATCTCTGCAGTATTCTGTAAAACAAGAAAACTTGTTTGCCCTCATATGCCGCTGCTGAAAATTAAAGGAAAAATTCTTCTCAGAATGCAACAAATGTATACTAAAAACTTTAATTGCTTAGTTATATTTGTAGACAGTTCTAATATTAATGGTAATCATTGTGCTTATAAAAGTAGGAAAGAAGGAGGTAGGGGCAGTGGTATCCATGTCCTATCATGTGACATTTCCTGTTGAAATATTTGCATTTCAGGATCCGCCTTTTTGAAATTTAAGAAATTGTTAGTCAGAGTGTGTATGTTAGGTTATAATTATCTGGATTTATAACTGAATTAGAAAATTCTAAAATAAAGGACACTCTTTGGACGCTTCCTTGGCATCTGGAGAGAAGGGAAAACAAAACCTTGTTTTCAAACTAGAGTGGCAGTGTTTACTAGTTGGAAGAATGGCAGAGCACCAAAAAGAAACCATAGCATTACAACAGATTATGCTTGAAATTCAAAAATTATTAGAAACAACAGAGAGAATTGAGAAGAGATTAGAAAATATGGATTGTAATGCAGTGAAATTCAATGGAAGAATTGAAGATATCCAGCAAATGGAAAAAGTGGAGGTTAGAGTCATAAAAACCCAGTGAACTGAGTGGTTGGAGATGGAAAGAGTGGAACATGGAAAGGGAAAATAGATGGAAAGGAGCTCTACTCCAGATATAGAAGAAGAAAAAAGAGAAGAATTGATAGATTCAAGGAGAGAAACTTTGACAAAAGCACTACTGATAACCAAAGATAAGGTGATTAAAGAAGCTGATGGAGGATCTCGAGATTTTACAAGATATGTAAAAAGCAATAAGTTGCAAAGAGAAGTCCAGACAAATTTGATTAAGGAAATAACAAGAAGACTAATTCCACAAATGGCAAAAGACATAAGACTGCACTATTACTGGAAAGACACAGGTTGAGATATGAAAAGTAATAACAAAATATTAGTCAAACTTAGTTAAAATTAGAGCATTATGTGAAAAAGTGATAATGGATATAGTTAGATAAATAATTGATAATGATAATAATGTACACATATGTATTGGTTTGATAAGAGGAAATTTGGTATAAATTCTAAATGGTGATCATGAAAGGAAGTTTAGAAACTCTTATATATGAAAGCTTATAATATTAAAAAAGAGTAAATTAAATATAGTTAAAATAAGACCAAAAAAATGAAATGATGATGGATATTATTAAATAAATGATTGATAATGATAATAATGTAATATTTGTATTGACATGATAAAAGGGAAATTTGATATAAATTGTAAACAGTGATTAAGAAAGGTTTATAAACTTTGTTATTAAACATAATTAATTTTTATTTAGAAAGTGTTATAAAGATGTAATGTTGCTGGATGATATTGAAAATAGATAACAGAATGCCATCATGTGGTTTTGCTTTAAATTTTGGAATATTTTATATAAAGGGATGTAAAAACAACTTATAGTCATATGAAGATTGAGGTATGATGATAGTAATATATAGATATAAATATATTTGATTTAAAATATATAACTTGATATGAATTGTAGGTGATGACTATGGAAGGGATGCACGAAAGCTCTTTGTAACCAATTGACACACTTTTTACAATTTGTAATGGAAGATACTTTTGTGGCTTTGTTGTGTTTTGTCTGTTTATTCAAAAATGAAAAATTATATTAAAAATAAAATAAAGGACACCCATTCAGTTTACTTCACTGATAAAGACAATAGATGCACATATATTTTATTTCATGATAATAAATACCTTTCTGGAAGTCTTAGAAGGGAAAATTTGCATAACAAATACTTTCAATCATTGTGTCACCGAACTATACTATAATTAGTTTCCTAAATATTTAAAGGCAGTGTCCTATATGCAATTTTCACTTCTTTTTTCATGTTTCATTCATATTAGAATAGGCTTTTTTTTTAGTATAAAACTATTTATTAGTAGCATTTATAAATGCATCTGAAGATCTAGACATACCATTTCTAAATGGGTATAGGTACATTGTATTTCTGTTGTTGTTTTTATATATTCATATCTCTTCTTTCCAGTTTTATTTCTGTTGTGCCTCTGACCAGCTGAAATCCAGTTTTACTGTTTTTGTTGACTTTGGCTCACTTGTTCCATTCATTGTGTGTTTCTGTCTTTCAATATCTTTGAATTAAGGGGGAGGCCCTGAGACAGGTTTTGGTAAATCGTTACTACGGGAACATCAGAAGTGGAGGAAGACGAGAGAGCCTCACCAGCTTTGGCAATGGACCTTTATCTCCTGCAGGGCCCAACAAACCTGGAGGAGCAGGTAGGCTGTTTTGAGTGCTGCTTGATAACTTGTGAGACTCCCATGTTGGCTCTTCTGTCTCTTAACTGCTAGATGAATCTGGCTGACAGTCTCCGCAGCTGTTTCAGCAGATATTTTTCATTCTCTATTACCTCTCTGTCACTCAGAAAGTTGGCTCTTGAATTAAAGTATTGGAAATTGGTCTGTTCATTCAGCCTCCCCCCTTTTTTACAATTCATCATGCATGCATTTTTACTAGTGTGAAACTTGTTGATATTCGTAATTTTCTTGGTACTGTCTCTTTATTAAAATCAGTAAATGGTTTTATTTATTGTTTATTTGTTTATTTATAGATCACATTTTTAAAACACCCATTCTCACAGGGGTTTATTTATTAAAGAATATTTATTAAATAGATAGAAACAACAAAAACCAAGTAGTCCATTTGTACAGGGGGTAATGTACTTGGCTAGAAACCAAGAGGCTGTGAGTTGTAGTCCTCCCTTAGCATGGGTGGGTGATTTTGGCCCAGTCCTGCCCTCAAATCAACGCAGCACAACGAGTTGTTTTTGTGGCGAAAACAGCTGGTAAATAAATATGCCATCAGGTTTTGACCATTAATTGAGAAGATTTTTGTGCATAGGCTTTAGCAATAAATCAGTTTAATTGAACCTTCATGTGTAGCTTTCGTGCTTAACATGCATTTATGACAGCAGTTGTGGCCTTACTAGTTGCCATTGTTAAGCAAATTCTGAACAGTTGTCAGGTGCAATATCATGTGATTCCCATTTGCAACTTCCTGTCTCCTTCCCTATTGACTTTGCATGTTGGAAGATGCAGTGAATGACGTAAATGGCAATCACACAACTACGGGGTACAATACATTTGTAATTGTGAGCTGGTTGCTAAATCATGATTACATGAAATCATGATTACATGATGGCAGGCAGTTCCGAGGACCGCTCATAACAGCAATAGCACATAGGCTTATATACTGCTTCATAGTGCTTTACAGCCCTTTCTAAGCGGTTTATAGAGTCAGCATATTTTCCCCAACAATCTGGGTCCTCATTTTACTGACTTCGGAAGGATGGAAGGCTGAGTCAACCTTGAGCTGGTCAGGATCGAACTTTTGGCTGTGGGCAGAGTTTGCTTGCAAGATTACATTCTAACCACTGCACCACCACGGCTCTTAAGCTTCAAATCCATCATAACTCAAAACAGTCACTGAAGAAGTGATCATTGAAGGAGGGTTATACATAATGACAGACTATCTGACCTAAGGAAAAATGTGGGACTGCTAAGAGATTATAATTTTAAATATTTGCATGCAAATTGTCCAGTGATATCTCTGGTTTAAAGAATGAATAGCAATAGCAATAGCAATAGCAGTAGACTTATATACCGCTTCATAGGCCTTTCAGGCCTCTCTAAGTGGTTTACAGTGTCAGCATATTGTCCCCCAACAATCTGGGTCCTCATTTTACCCACCTCGGAAGGATGGAAGGCTGAGTCAACCCTGAGCCAGTGAGATTTGAACCGCTGACCTGCTGATCTAGCAGTAGCCTGCAGTGCTGCATTTAACCACTGCGCCACCTTGGCGCAGGTGATAACTTGGGGAGACCACATGGGTACAAATGGGTACAAATTGGTACAAATTGGTACAAATTGGTACAAATAATAAATCTTTGTAAATCCTGAATTCTGAATGACATTTATTTTTATTGTCTTAACTAAAAGGATTGAAAGGAGAATGGGAATTAAATGAATAATTATATTGTTTGTGTCACCACAGTGATTATACTTGCACCTAATAATAGAAATTCTCTAGGTGATTTATAATTGGTTTGTATTGGCGTCTAAACTAGCCTTCTTAGAAAGGTTTTGTAGGCTTCTTTTTTCAAATGGTTTGAATTACGCTGGTTGAATTTATTCCTGGTTTAGTAATTTATTATTGTTTTCTGATAGTTATGAAACCATTCTAACATTGTTGCTATTTATAATGCTATCACATTTGAGGAGCTTGACTTTGGAGAGAATATTAAAAAAGAAACAACGTTTCTAATAGCACCATCACTTGCTAACACCATAAAGAGCAAAGCATGATAGTGCAAAGCAGATAATAAACGGGAACACATTCACAGCTAAAACTTACTTTGCTTGCTTTAATTGCTTGAAGGGAAGCAACACATTTTCTAATGCTGAGCAACCCCAAAAGGCTTCATTTTTGTTTGTTTTTTCTTTTTGTAGGAAGTGGGTCTGGATCCAGCTCAACCAACCGTGGTGAAATGAGTTTGACAGAAGTCCAGTGTCACTTGGATAAGGAAGGAGCATCCAATCTAGTTATAGACCTCATCATGAATGCCACTAGTGATAGAGTTTTCCATGAAAGCATCCTGTTGGCTATTGCCCTACTGGAAGGTGGCAACACAATTATACAGGTAGGAAAAGTATTCCCATGGTTTCTGAATCTACATAAAAACAAGAACGAAAAGCTGCTAGTTAGACATCTGTTAGTATACAATATTTGGAATCGTGTATGAATTCTCAGAAATGGCTCCCATGGGAGTATCAATGGTCAAAATATATTTTTACTCGGAGGCAGATCCTGTTTCTAGTGTCTCGATCACCATAGCTTATTTTTTTAGACAAAAACAAAGAGTTGTATTGCAGCCATACACCTTTCTTTTTTGTCCCTTTGAGTCAGTTTTTATTCCTGGTGACCGCCTGTAATAGTCCCTGAGATTTTGGCAAGATTTTGCAACTGGTTTGTTGTTGCTTATTTCTTACAGTTTGAGAGAGAGGGACTGACCCAAACTCACTCAGCTGACTTATACCTAATGTGGGACTATCTCCTGATTTCTTGGCACTTCGAGTCTCACTGGTTCAAGGTTGACTCACCCTTCTGAGGTCAGTAAAATGAGGACCCAGATTGTTGAGGACAATATGCTGATGCTTAGAGAGGGCAATAAAGCCTGGTGCCTTAATCACTATATCAAACTGGCTCTCTGTTAGAAAATAGCATTTTTAAATACTATTCATTCATTCATTCATTTATTTCCTTCATTTATGGTACCCATGTCACAAATGCTACTAATATTACGTACAATATGTTAAAACACTAAAAAAATAATATTAGCAGAGAATTAAAAGCAACAGTGGTCTCTCAGAATGAATCCAGCTAAACAATAGATTGAAACTTTTCAATGGGCCAACTCGCTAGTCAATCCCCTGGCCCTGGAACACATCCAGGTGTTCATCAGTTTACAAAAGGCTACCAGAATCAGGGACAATCTCTCTCAGGTGGTAGGATGCTGCAGATTGCAGACACTGGAACCAAATATCATGCTTCCAAGGAGGCATAAGATGTCATTCTTTAACTGAAGGGCCCATTGCATGCCCTCCTATCAAACATACTGGGGCAATAGGTAGAAACAATCATGGAGAAGCAGCCCTGCAAATATCGGAACTCCATGCCATGAAGGGCTTTATAGGTGACCACTAGTACCTTGAATTCTACCCGAAAACATACTAGTGCAGCTCATAGAGCAGAGATGTAAAATTGTCCTACCAAGATGTGCTTATAACCACCCATACACTGTATTCTGGAATAGCTACAACTTTTGGATAGTCTTCAAGGGCAGCCCTACATAGAGCCCATTGCAGAAAATGACTGTGTCTAAACTAAGTGTAACATGAGCAGTGACAGGAAGAGCTGCAAGTATTATATTTTGTGTAAAAGCCCTCTTGGCCACGGCTGCCACCTGCTGTTTAAACAGAAATCGTCACTTCAGGAAGACCTCTAAATTGCATACCCTTTTTTTCTGGGCTAATGCAATTCCATCTAGAACCAAAGAGCAAAAAAACCTGAAGCCACAATCCCCAAAACTCCGTTTTGGCAAGGTTGAGCTAATCTGGTTGGTTCCCATCCAGATTCCTATATTCTCCAATCACTGAGCCAGAACCTGCATAAACATCACTTGTTTGATCCATCTATCATTAGCATAAGGATAACAACTCATCTCATGTCATCAGATTCCCATATTTAATCCTTGACTAGGCTATATTTTAAACAAATAGCAATAGCACTTAGCCCTTTATATCGCCACAGAGTGTGTTACAGAACTCTCTCAGTTTACAAAGTTAGCATATTGCCCCCAACAATCTAGGTCCTCATTTTATTGAACTCGAAAGGAGGAAAAGTTGAGTCAACCTTGAGCCTCATCAGGATCAAACTCCAGTCAGTGGACAGAGTTTGCTTGCAATACTGCATTCTAACTAATGGGCCATGAGGGTGTAATTCTTGTTACATATTGTAGCAAGTTGTCCAATATTTAATTTAAAGAGGGAAACATGAAAAGATAAATTAAACAGGTAAGAACAGAATCACTTAGGACTGGTATCATAGAGACTCGAACAGAAAAGGAAGACATTGTATCAAAACCAAAAGGGGACATGATAGCAGTCTTTCAATATTTGAGTGGCTGCCACAGAGAGGAGGGGATCAAGTTATTTTCCAAGGTTCCTGAAAGCCAGACAAGGAATAATGGATGGAAACTGATCAAGGAGAGATTCAATCTCGAAATAAGGAGAAATTTTCTGACAGTGAGAGCAATCAACCAATGGAATAGCTTGCCTTCAGAAGTTGTGGCAGCTTCATCACTGGAGGCTTTCAAGAAGAGACTGGACTGTCATCTATCAGAAATGATGTAGGGTCTCCTGTTTGGCTGAGGGGGTAGGACTAGATGATCTATAAGGTCCCTTCCAACTCTATTAATCTGTAAAAAAAAATTAATGGAATAGTGGAGTTGTAGCAGTAAGATAAGGCTTAACTAGAACTTGAGATAAGAAAATGTAAGAGAAAGAAGTTTGATAGGCAAGAATGTTATTTAAGCAACATTCAATTCTTTACTGTTACAAAACATTAAAGACAAATCTATTTTCTTTCTTCCCCTCATCTCTATATATAGAAGACCAACCAAATTGTTAATTGTCCCCCAGCCTGTGGCCCATACCTAAGTAGAAGAGTCTTAAAAACTGTTTTTCAACCTGATAAAAGCACAGTGATTCCAAGTTTCACAGTGTGCTGGTTGGCTGTTCTGAAGCTTCATACATTCCTGTAATACTGTAGCTAGAAGAGGTGGGTAAGCAATAGCATTTGGATAATGAGCAGCATGCAGACTCAGTTGAGGGAGTGGGTATGACTCTCCTTACACAGAATAGCAATAGCACTTAGACTTATATACCACTTTATAGTGCTTTACAGCCCTCTCTAAGCAGTTTGCACAACCAGCATGTTGCCCCCAACAATCTGGCTCCTTATTTTACCCACCACGGAAGGATGGAAGGCTGAGTCAACCTTGAGCCTGGTGAGAACTGCCAAATTGCAGGTAGTCAGCAGTCAGCAGAAGTAGCCTGCAGTACTGCACTCTAACCATTGCGCCACCGTGGCTCAGAATAAGCAAAAACTTGCTAATTTTCTAGTACTTGCTAACTTTTTAGTACTTGCTAACTTTCAAGTACTAAATTTAACTAGCTACCTTCCCTGTTGATGGATAGTCATCATATGTCACTGTGGGGGGAGAAATGGCTGAACAAAATACCAAGGGTGTAAAAAGGAGAGAAAGAGAGTTGATAGCAAACCTGTTAGCTTTAGTTGTTTTTAAATTTTGCTATAAATGGAAATTATAATCCAGTCTTCTGCTCCGTAGGTATAAATGAAATACAATTATCCAAGCTAATTAAAATGGCTTCCTATGATGAGATTTGCCCAGGTAATTAATGTACAGATTTTAGAGCATCTCAGAAAATCAGGACAGAACAGCACAGAGCTTTCTTCTTTTTAATGTAACTTTCTTTCAGCATGTAAATCAGCTACAGGTGGATTCAGGTTAATCCCTATAAGGATTAGTCCTTGATAAGCAGGAAGAGGCAGGCTTTTTAAAACAAGGTCATGCTACTTTTTTTTTTAACACAGGAATCAACAAGGATGTTATATAACTTCTATTTATATTCAACTGGCTAGTAGCTGCAGGCATACAAGACAAGCGAAGGGAGGAATTTAATGAGCTCTGAGGGTTTGCTCACCTTCTCAAGCTGGTAGAGACAGCTTGAGATCTTTTGGTCGGCTTTTTTTTTTATGCGTCAGCAAATGAAGCTAGTGGGTGGTGTGGGTAGGTGGACTGACTGGTTGCCATGGTTTTCTTCAGTTCCCTTTTCTCTGCTGTCTCTTCCCAAAAAAAATATATATATTTTAAAGGGTTGCTGACTTCCAGGAGCCAGTAAAATGTCCTTGTTCTCACACCCACATATGAATCCTTCATTCAGGAAGGAAGTAGGATGTGTCTCTCTCTCTCCTGTACCGATAATGTGTGGTTTAAAAGCTCACTATACTTCTGTGGGTGGGTGTTTGCTGCAGCTGTGTTAAATGTGTGAAAAAAGTGGTGTTTTTTTTAAATATATTGAAATTGTAGTCCCACGACTCCCACAGACCCAGAACCATCTGCTTGTTCTGTTATGCTTTTAATCAGTGCAAAGGAGCGGGGGGGAGCAGAACTTGTGATATTACCTGTAATTTTTGCACATTAACCCACCCTTTGCTCACTTTAAATTTCTTCCCTTTCTGTTCCTATGCTTGCCCTGGATGTTGTCCATAATATAAAGCAGGTGGCAAATTAGCATTTGGGCCACAGAGACTCATCTCATGCAAGACTTTTTCAGAAATCAAGTGGTAGACATGGCCCATTTGTCAGTGTTGATTGATCCCAGTGGAAGAAAACTAGTCACTCTGGCCTCCATTCTGAGGATTGATTTGTCACAGCATCACGAATACTGGATTGTATGTTAAAATTACAGTCTCTAATTATGGATAATCCACTGGTGCTTCTGGTTATTTTAAAATCAGAATGTAGTTCCGTGTCATAACTCTTAAGGAACAAAAGAGAAATGCCTTACCAGATGTCTTGCTAGCTGTAAAAGTTGCCTTGCCCTAATCCAGGGGTGTCAAACTCAATTTCATTGAGGGCCGCATCAGGGTTGTGTTTGACCTCAGAGGTGGGCCTGACCAGGGTGGGTGTGGCTAGTTTGATGTCACTCGTCTCACGGCGTCTGTGGTGGCCTGAGCACTTGGCCAGCAAAAAAGGGTTCCCGAGCTCTGTTTTCAGCTGCTATGGCCTTCTGCCGCCCTCTGCCAGTGAAAACATTTTGTCCCCCCCACCCAAGCTTTGGCAAAGGGCAGCAGAAGGCCGTCACGGTTGAAAACGGTGTCTGAAAGGGCTGCATGTGGCCCCAAACTCCGTTTTCACTGGCAGAAGGAGGCCGTTGCGGCTGAAAACAGAGCCTGGGAGGGTCAAGCACAGTCCTCCTGAGCTCCGTATTTGCTGGCAGAAGCACTGTGGGCCCCTAGACAGATCTAAGCACCCTGCAGGGTCAGCCCCAGTTG